CCCGGGACCTTCTGCATGCCAAGCAGATGCCCTACCACTGAGCCAGAGTCTCTCCCCTCACCTCCTGCCTGGTCCTTTCACCTGGAGATGCCGGGGATTGAACCCGGGACCTTCTGCATGCCAAGCAGATGCCCTACCACTGAGCCAGAGTCTCTCCCCTCACCTCCTGCCTGGTCCTTTCACCTGGAGATGCCGGGGATTGAACCTGAGACCTTCTGCATCCCACGCAGGGGCTCTTCCACTGAGCCACAGCCCCTTCCTTGACTTCTTGATAAAACACGAAGAGGATATAGCCACATAGTTATCTTCCAGAAAAGCAGTGGGCGTGCTTTCAGCCTCCTAAATGCCACTGCTGATGTCAGCACTGAGACTGATCTGTCGGCAATCTTGATTGGAAATATGTTGCGTTTCGTTCAGTTTGGACTTATAAGGACATGCAGTTACCGTCTCTCGACTATTTTGGTAAAAGCGAGTCCATCAGTATGTTTTAGCCTTGATGCAATACACCAGTATCGCTCTTTAAAATGACGGCTGGGCGAAATCCTCTTCCTACGCAGTAGAAACCTATTGTATTGTGTCTTTAGAATCATAGAAGCGTTGGAGGAGGCTATACAGGCCATCTAGTCCAACCCCCTGCTCAGTGCAGGATCAGCCTAAAGCATCCCTGACAAGTACTTTTGCAACGTGAATCAAACATAGCATTAAGGCAGGAGTCCTCAACATGGTGCCCGTGGGCGCCACATTGGCCGCTGACACCTTTCTCGGCACCTGCCAAGTGTTTTTCAGAAGGTGGGTGGGGCCAGGTGGGGCTTTTGCCCAGCAGGGCTTCTGATTGGCCATTTGAAGATCCGATTGGCTGTTCAGATTAAAATAACGTTGTTTTTATGGTAGCTGCCACCACAGTGTTTGTTTTATTCTCTCTCACTCCTGTTTCCCAGTAGAACAAGGTCAGAGTCCAGCGGCACCTTTAAGACCAATAAAGTTTTATCCGAGGCGTGAGCTTTCGTGTGCAGGCACACTTTGCCAGACGATGAAATGGAATTACATATTATAGTTGTATGTATAGGAATGGTTTGTTAAATTAGCATGCAAAATAGCGAGGACACTTTTTTTTTGACAGATCAAAAGAATGACAAGTTAGTTCCTGGTTATCATCTGTTTCGATTCAACTAACTGGGCAGGGGGGAAATAACATAGGTAATAAATACATCAGAACTGGAGATTGGTGTGTCCTAACTGTGGTGGCTCAAGTGGATAAGACGCTATGTGTAGCCCTTCTTGGTGAGAATACATATGTGAGGACTGAATGAGTTATCATGTGTAATGGGATAAATTGGCATCTGGGATTATTGCAAGCTCTGGTACCAGTGCACACGAAAGCTCGCACCTTGAATAAAACCTTGTTGGTTTTGTTCGTTGGACTCTAACTCTGTTCTGTTGCTTCAGACCAACACGGCTGCCCACCTTGATTCTGTTTCCCAGTGTCTTTTAAAAAATCATAGCTCTTCTCCCCTGTACTTGGGGTTCCTAGGTGTGCGTAGCTCCGCCTCCTGTGGCAGCCATCTTGGGGTCGCACCCTGTACTGAAATTCCAGAGGTGCCCACAGGCTCAAAAAGATTGGGGACCCCCTGTATTTAGGAGTCGCCTGATGGCCAACGGGCACAAAGATGCAATGGAACACATACCCGAGATCTGAGTATCATAGAGAGAGCCAGTTTGGTGCAGTGGTTAAGTGTGCGGACTCTAATCTGGGAGAGCCGGCTTTGATTCCCCACTCCTCCACTTGCACCTTCTGATGTGACCTTGGGTCAGTCACAAGCTCTGGCACAACTTTGCTTCAATAAAACATGGAGTTAACTGACAGAATCCTTTCCCTTGGGTACAGTGTTATGTCAGAGATCCACAAGATACTGCATTCCATTACAATCACTATTATAATATACTACCTCAAAAAAAGAAAGAAAAGAAAAACATCAACATATAGGGGATGTGTAGCCCTTCTTGGTGAGAATACATATGTGAGAAACAATATTAAGGATCTTACAAATTAATATGCTGTTAACCCCAGAAACATATTTATTAAACATGGTACCCGATACTATTAAAGAGCATAACCAGATAATAGTGTATATTTTGACGGCAGCTAGAATATTAATAGCTAAACGATGGAAATCTAAAAGTACACCATCTATAAAAGAGCTTAAGCATAAAATCATGGAAGTAGCAGAAATGGACAAATTAAATACAGTTTTGCAAAATAAACCGGAGGAGCTATACTGGGATAGATGGGGAAAAATTTATGAATGGCTGAAGATAAATACGCCATAATAGAATTGAAAAAAGGCTAGTTAAAGACAAATAATGTTAAATATAGACGATCGTTATGTGATGAAATATATATGATTGAATTGAATATGTTTTGGTGAAAATGAAAATAAATTTATATAAAAAAACAGAGAATACATATGTGAGGACTATACCGGGCAGTGACGGCGCGTGCAATTAAAAATGAATATATGTTGTCTTCCCTATCCCCTACAAACATTGTTAGTCCCTTGTCTATAATGAGTAACTGTACATCGCTCTGAGCCCACTGGGGAAAGCGATTAATAAATGGAAAGTATTATTATTATTTATTTATTATTAAAAGACGAGGCAGTAAGTGATGGGGAAGACCTCTGCCTGAGACCCTGGAGAGCTGCTGCCAGTCTGAGTAGACAATTCTGACCTTGATGGACTGATGGTTCGATTCAGTACAAGGCAGCTTCATGTTACCACTAGGGCTGGATGGTTCCTGGCCTGGCTCCCTGCCCTTCCTTGTCATTTCGGTGATGTCAGAAGGAGCTGTTTCCACTTGGGGAGGAAACCAAACCAATCAGCGCTGCAAGGGAGGACGTGACCGTCCAGGTGGGCCCCTCGATGCGTGTTTGGTTCAGCCTGAAGCTCTCGCTTTCTCTGACTCATCTCCTGGAAAGCACACGGCAAAGCCCAAGACTGCCGCAAACGCTCACCGGCCCCTCGGAAGCTGAGCCGGCTCCTCTCCTGTGGCTATTCTGGTCCCTTTCCCAGGAGGGCAGATCCCTTTCTGTGGATTAAAGTGCAAAAGGGACAGCGAGAGGTCAGGTGTAGGGCACCCAGGAAGAGTCAGAGACTAATGATGTCTCTCCCACGTTGCCAAGTCTTCAAGTCCCCCCACCGCACCTCAGCTTCGCTGGCAGACTTTGAAAATGGGTGAAGATCACTGGTTTTTGGAGATGGCTGGTAGGTAAGATTTTGTGCAGACTTCCGCACAGAGTCTTCCCAGTTCTAGGACTGGGAGACCATACCAAGGCGGGCATAATTCAGAAGGGTCTCGTTTTCCTTTTGAATCTGAATCGAACACAAGAAGGTGCCGTAGCCTGAATAAGGGGTCATTTCCCGCAGGAGCGCACAGGAGCGGAGCTCCGGCAGTAAAGAGCCCAGGGGGTGGGCACATGCAACAAGCCCCACCCCTTCTCCCAGCAGCCCTCAGTCAGAGCAAGAAGCAGCCAGGTAAGCTGCAGAGCTCCCCCCAGCCCCCAGGTCCAAAACAGTCCAGTGGCACCTTTAAAACCAAGTTTTATTCAGGTACAAGCTCTCCCTCCTCTGTGATGACAGATCTGCACGTCCCCCCCAATAGCTAGCAATCCAAACGAGTCCAGTGGAGCCTGAGCGGTGGGTGTTGCCTTCTGACACACTTCCGGTGATGTCGGGGGGGATATGCAAATAAGTTATGCTAATGAGTTATGCTAATGAGCTCCTGCACCTCTTTTTCTACGAAATGACCCCTGAATAAGACCACTTGTCCATCAAGGTCGGTATTGCCTCCTCGTTTTCCTTTTGAATCTGAATCGAACGCATGAAGGTGCCGTAGCCTGAATAAGACCACTGGTCCATCGAGGTCGGTATTGCCTGCTCAGACTGCCAGGGGTTCTCCAGGGTCTCAGGCTGGGGTCTTGTCCATCAAGGTCGGTATTGCCTGCTCAGACTGGCAGGGGTTCTCCAGGGTCTCAGGCTGGGGTCTTTCACATCACCTCCTGCCTGGTCCTTTGCCATTGGAGATGAGGGGGACTGAACCTGGGACCTTCCACGTCCCAAGCAGAGGTTCTACCATGTCTCAGGTCAAGGTCTTTTTTCATCAGTTTCTACCTAATCCTTTTTGACTGGAGATGGCAGGTGGTGAACTTGGGACTTCCTACTGAGCCAAGGTCCCATATCAAGGCCTTTCCCATCACCTACCGCCTGATCCTTTTAACTTGAAATGCCGGGGGATTGAACTTGGGACCTTCTGCATGCCAAGCAGATGCTCTACCACTGAGCCAGGGTCTCAGGTCAAGGTCTTTCACATCACCCTCTGCCTGTTCCTCTTAACTATCTACAGCTATTGGGGATTGAACCTGGGACCTTCAGCATGCCAAGCAGATGCTCTATCACTAAGCCAGGGTCTAGGTTCAAGTTCTTTCCCATCACCTGCTCCCTGTTCCTCTTAACTGCAGCTATTGGGGATTGAACCTGGGACCTTTTGCATGCCAAGCGGATGCTCTACCACTGAGCCACAGCCTCCCCCCATAAGCTTTGCATTTATTCCATCCTGATGTCACGTGAACACATGCAGCCTTATACTGCATCAGACCCTTGGTCCATCAGGGTCAGTACTGTCTACTCAAATTGGCAGCAGCTCTCCAGGGTCTCAGGCAGAGGTCCTTCACATTGCCTACAATTGATCCTTTTGACTGGAGATGCTGGGGCTTGAACCTGGGACCGCCTGCATGCCACGCAGATGCTCTGCCACTGAGCCACGGCCCCTCCCCACTGAAAAGAGGACATTGTTGTTTAACGTAACATCAAGCCAGCACAAAACATGTTATGGTTCATTGCCTGCCGTTAGAAGCGGGAAGTTAAGCAGATGGGGGACGTGCCGGTTTCCTGTATTTTTAAAAAGTACTCTGTTCCCTTTTCAGCTCACGGCTTTTCCTCCTGCTCTCTTTCAGCTTCGGTGGTGTCGTGAAGGGTTCTTCTGTCAGGCTGCGGCATAAAAAGCGGCGTCACCATGGGAGGTAAGACAGAGGTTTCCTTGTGTAAGGGGGGGCATTGGTTTCAGCCAGGCCAGGTTGCACCCACACTTACCCTGGAAGAATTTCCTGATGATCAGAGACTTCTCTCATAACAACTAACAAAATAACATGCAAGAAGCGAACCTTATAAGCAAGAACTCAACAAGTATATTGTGATAATAAAACTAACTGTACTAACATATTTACTAACAGTAAAAAGATCTCCTCCTCTTGGGGTTTTAGTCTAGTGTGGTTTGCTTTTCTTTATCCCTAGTTGTAGTCCCTCCCCTATATTTCTTTGTAGTTTGTAGTATATGCAAAATAAAAAATATCCCTACGGGGATTTAAAAAAAGAAAAAGAAAAGAAGAATTTCCTGAATCCATTTCAGTCACGGACTTGTTCATGTGCCTAAGCCAGGGGTCCCCAACCTTTTTGAGCCTGTGGAGACCTTTAGAATTCTGATGCAGTGTGGTGGGCGCAGCCCCAAAATGACCTTCGGTCACACAATGAAGATCCCTGCGCTGTGGTGGCAGCTGCTGCCAGAGCATCATTTTAAAATATCTGCACAGCCAATCAGAAGCCTTGCTGGAGAAAAGCCCCACCTGGCTACGCCCAGTTTCTAAAAACACTTTGTGGACACCACCAGTGTTCCCTCTAAGCTGAGTTAGTCGCAGCATGGTTTGGGTTTTTTTGTTTAAATTTCCCTGCACATGCCCTTCTGGGCACATCGCGGGTAGGGGGAAAAACCTGCCGGGGATGGATTGGATGGTTCAGACTTCCCATCTGTTTTGTGTGCGCTCCTGTGCGTTCAGACATCCGGGAACGCGGGATGAATGCGTGGACATCTGTAAGTGAATGCATGGACTTCCTCCAGTGGCTCTTTACTCCTCATCCAGCTCCTCATACGATGGGCTGAGTACGAGCGGGGCTCGGGCGCTAGATGTGGCTGTGTGAACACGCCCATTCAATCTGTAAGGGAAGAGCCACTATACCGGGCCAAACTGCCCGTCTGACCGCAGCCTAAAGTTAAGTAATTTACTAGTCTACCTGTATCAAGCCTCTGCTTGGGAAAGGCACTCCCCACTCTCATAGAGAGGAATGTGTCTTTGTCGCAGTCCCCCCTCCTGATGTCATGCCCGCAATGCAGCCCGACCCCGTGGACCCTGACCCCGGGGATTCTACACTTAGTTTGGGTTTGTTTTTTTTTAAAGTTCCCTGCACATGCCCTTCTGCGCACATCACGAGTAGGGGGAAAAACCTGCCAGGGATGGATTGGACGGTTCAGACTTCCCATCCGTTTTGTGTGCGCTCCTGTGCGTTCAGACATCCGGGAACGCGGGATGAATGCGTGGACATCTGTAAGTGAATGCATGGACTTGCTCCAGTGGCTGTTTACTCCTCATCCAGCTCCTCATACGATGGGCTGAGTACGAGCGGGGCTCGGGCGCTAGATGTGGCTGTGTGAACACGCCCATTCAATCTGTAAGGGAAGAGCCACTATACCGGGCCAAACTGCCCGTCTGACCGCAGCCTAAAGTTAAGTAATTTACTAGTCTACCTGTATCAAGCCTCTGCTTGGGAAAGGCACTCCCCACTCTCATAGAGAGGAATGTGTCTTTGTCGCAGTCCCCCCTCCTGATGTCATGCCCGCAATGCAGCCCGACCCCGTGGACCCTGACCCCGAAACTAGAGAGGAATGTGTCTTCTGAGCTGATGCTACTATGAGGCACCCCTGCATCGTCTAAGGAGAAAGGAAGTTTCTCGCCGTCCCCCCTCCTGATGTCATGCCCACAGTGCAGCCCGACCCCGTGGGCCTTCACCCTGGGGATTCTATACCTACACCTCTTGAATCACTAGGTCTAAGTCCTGTGGAGGATGAGCACCAGCTACCAGGAGAGTTTACACCTGGAGTCACACCTGCAGAGCCAAGCACAAGCACCACGCCTCCTGATTCCCCCCCACCTGTGACTCGTTTGCAAGAACAAAGGCGACGGGACATGGCAACCCGGCGTAAGGAGGCACGCATGCGAGGTCGGCCGCCTCTAAGCCCAGAGTACTGACCGGAGCCAGGACCCTGTTAGCGATCCGTAATTGGCTAACAAGCGGAATGGGCTTTTAAGGCGGCTGTCTCAGATCCTCAACTTGTGCTGGCAACTAATCGCATAGACAAATCGCTGCACCCCGGATCCTGTGTTCCTGTCTCCTGGTTTTCATCTCGACTCCCCGGCTCCTGACTTTGGCTTGCGTGACGTCCCTGACTTCGGACTGTGTAACCTGACTCCTGATGAACGGCTTCCGGCTTCTAAACTCTGCCTGCAATCTCTGGTAACCCTAGACTGTGTTTTGACTTGGTATTTTGGACTCTGCTCACGTTTCTCTGCCTTATCTGGTGCCCTGACCTCAGACGGTGTTTTGGACTTTCCGTGCCCTGCCTGGCCCGTCAGCGCAGCCGTGACACCTGAGGTGTGTGTTTACGCCGTCAGATCTTGAAACAGTGTCATTGATAAATAAAAGGCATATGATTAATCCAACTCGATTTCTTCCACTTGGGTCAAGTGTCTTGACGTAAATACGGAAGACCACCCTTTCTGTTTGGGAGGAACCGACGGGGGGAAAAGAAACAATCTGTGCTTTTTCCTTTCAGAAAAAGTGAACAATTTCCCTCCCCTGCCTCGCTTCATCCCCCTGAAGCCGTGCTTCTACCAGGATTTCGACGAGGAGATCCCTCCCCAGCACCGGACCATGGCCAAACGCCTCTACTACCTCTGGATGTGTGAGTTGGGGCTTGGGAGGGCGGAGGGGGAGAACATTTGCCAGGGAGGAGGAAGGAAGGGGCAAGAGATCCCTATCTCTTCCTCCCCCCTCCATATTTTTTCTTCTTCTTGCTACTAATGGAATGGTGAGAGCAGCGGCAGGAACCTTCTTATTCTGCCTTTCGAGATTTGATCAGTTTGGGTTTTGGCCTGTGTGGTTTCTTTCTTGCGTGTATTTCTCAGGAACTCAATCCAGACATGGAGCCCCAGTTCTCCAGAAATGGGAAAACGGGTTTCGCCAGTCCCAGACACCTTTTAGATTGCCCCACTGCAAGCCCACAGGCCTGCCGCCTCTGTTTCTGATGTGGGTCTTAACTCCATGGCCAGTCGGTGTTGCATCAAAAGAGCTATCAGATGTATAGCATGTGCCACCATTTGTGGCTAGCCCTGCACACCATATCTGTGTACTAATAGCGGTGGGTGGCCTCCACCTGCAGATACCTAAATCTGCAGATTGGGGCCATGCCGACGACACTGAACAGATGTCCCTGCAAACTTAGTGGGGAAATCTGTAACCAAAAATAAAATATATTGGTGGGTTTAAATCTCTCCCCAATTGAGCATACACAGGCAACGCACATAGACAACCACTTCAGCTCAGCGGCACTGGCAGCTGCAGCAGAGGAGGGCGCCGGCAGCTGCTGCCAGCCTGGGCCCAGCAGAGGAGGGTGCTGGCAGCTGCCGCCAGCCTGGGCCCAGCAGACGAGGATGCCGGCAGCTGCTGCCAGCCTGGGCCAAGCAGAGGAGGGTGTCGGCTGCTGCCGCCGGCCTGGGCCAAGCAGAGAAGGGTGCTGGCTGCTGCTGCCAGCCTGGGCCAAGCAGAGGGGGGTGTTGGCAGCCAGGCTCAGCGGTAGGTGGGGAGGGCTGAAGCCTCTCCAGTCTCAGCGATGGGCGTGGATATGGGATCCCCCCTTGCGGGTCTTGTCGGCCTGCCACTTGTCATGGTTTTTTCCCTGCTTGGAGCTGGATCAGCCCCACCCCAAAGGCCAGTCGGGCGCAGATGGATGATTTTGCCAAGTCAAACAAGAGACCAAGGTAGGGTGCGTTAGTCTAGCATTTCTATGCTCATTCCCATGCTCTGCATCCAAACCCCGCCCTGGACCTTGCGCCATTGCTCATTGGTGTAAACGAAGTCAGCGGGGTGGACACAGTGGGCAATAATGGGAGGTTGGAAGCAGGGCATGCGGAGCACCATTCGATGCTCAAGAGTTTCCTCGCTCTCTGTGTTAAAGACCATAGAGTGGGGAAACTCCTAGAGAGTCACTCGCCACGGTGGCATAACGTCTGAGTCTTTACCCAGAAACAACATTGTTGCATTGCACATCAACATTCCCCCCCCGTTTCCCCCCCTGCTTCCCCCCCCAGCAGGGGATGGGAAACTCTGGATGGGGTTAGCCCAGCATCAGGGGTCATTTCCTGCAGGAGCGCACAGGAGCGGAGCTCCGGCAGTAAAGAGCCCAGGGGGCGGGCACATGCAACAAGCCCCACCCTCTGCTCCCAGCAGCCCTCAGTCAGAGCAAGAAGCAGCCAGGTAAGTTGCAGAGCCCCCACCCCAGTCTAAAACAGTTCAGTGGCACCTTTAAGACCAAGTTTTATTCAGGTACAAGCTCTCCCTCCTCTGCGAGGACAGATTTGCATGTCTCCCCCCCCCCCAATAGCTAGCAATCCAAAACAGTCCAGTGGAGCCCGAGCGGTGGGTGTTGCCTTCTGAGCCACTTTGGGTGATGTCAGGGGGTGTGGCACATGCAAATGAGTTATGCTGATGAGTTATGCTAATGAGCTCCTGCACCTCTTTTTCTACGAAATGACCCCTGCCTGGCATTATTGTTAGGGTGGTGGCTGGAGATCTCCTGCTATTACGGCTGATCTCCAGGCGACAGTGATCAGTTCCCCTGGAGTAAAATGGCTCTATCAGAAGGTAGACTGTGTGGCATTAGACCCCACCGAAGTGCCTCCCCTCTCCAAGCCCTGTCATCCTGAGGCTCCACTCCCCAAGTCTCCAGGTCTTTCCCAAGATGGAACTGGCAACCCTAATTATTGTCTAAAGCTGATGGCCACGGTCCCTGAACAGACCGAAGTAGTAACCGAAAAAACTGTGCAGGCGTCTGCGCTAATACATTTGAAATATTAATCAAAAAGATTTCATACAAAAGAGTGCACAACATTTGCATGACATATCAAACGCAAGTGAAGACCACCGTCTCCAGAATGTTCTGCCCAGGGCTCTTTTTGTAGAAAAAGCCCAGCAGGAACTCATTAGCATAATAGGCCACACCCAACAGCAGGAACTCATTAGCATATTGGGCCACACCCCTGACAGCACAGTTCATTAGCACATTAGGCCGCACCCCCATGTTACCGGAAGTGTGGTCATCCAGCCACACCCACCTTTTGCTTCTTATTCTGTTTACCTTGCTTGTTGTCAAAACCCAGGGCCGTTTTTTGTAGCAGGAACTCCTTTGCATGTTAGGCCACACACCCCTAATGTAGCCAATCCGAATGAGTTCCTGCTATTCGGTGTGGCCTATTATGCTAATGGGTTTCTGCTGGGTGTGGCCAACTTGGGAGCCAGCCGGAACTCCGTTCCTGTGCGTTCCTGCCCAAAAATAGCCCTGGTTCTGCTGTTTCGACACAAGTCTTCTTCTGAACAATGACGTATACATGTGGCGTCTCTCCATTTCATTTCAACTGGTTCATCATCAACAATTTCATGGATCTCTCAGGATTGTTTAGTACATTCCCATGGAAAGGCTTTTCTAGAAACGGTTACTACAATGTATTAGACAATCCTGAGAGAGCCATGAAATTGATGATGAATCAGTTGAAATGAAATAGAGAGACGCCACATGTATACATCATTGTTCGGAAGAAGACTTGTGTCGAAACGGCAGAACATTCCGGAGATCACCGTCGAACCCTAATTATTGGGCAAATGGCCACTCTGGTGGACTCTCACTTGCTCAGAAGCGGTTGCCATTTCGGCTCCGGTATTTTGCACCACATTAATGAAGAAGAGGAGAAGAGGTTGGATTTGTACCCTGCCCTTCATTACCCAAGGGAGTCTCAGAGCGGCCAATATCCTTTCCCCTCCCATCCCCACAACCTGTGAGGTAGGTGGGGCTGAGAGAGCTCTTGAGAGAACTGCTCTTGAGAGAACAGCTCCGAGAGAACTTGTGACTGACCCAAAGTCCCTCCAGCAACCGCATGAGGAGGAGTGGGGAATCAAACTCGATTCTCCCAGATTCGAGTCTGTGCTCCTAACCACTATACCAGACTGTCTCAGATGATACATCTGATTTGGTCCAGATGTGAGGAAATCGCATACAGCACAGCTTCCGGGCCAAACCCCAACGTTGTTCCCCAGCCCACTTTTAATTCATTCATCTCTCCCAGTTTTGCAGCTACTCCCTGGGGCTGGCTGAGCTCCTAAACTGCCTTGTGTTCAGCCACTGGGAGCCTCTCTAGTGTCTCCTTTTCTAAAGAAGTGCCCCTGGGACCCTAGAAACTCTTCGCATTTTATGCGTGTTTTGGCCTCATCTTTGATTCACTGCTCTTGTCAGGTCATTAACCAGCTTCCTTTTTTGCTTGTTTGTTCTTGAGCTGTGACACGTATGTGCATGAAACCGGTTGAACTTCCTGAGATTAAATTTCTGCTAACACCACGCTGTTTGGAGGGACCCTTCCGGCGATTACGGAAAGACGTACTCAAAGTTCGGGGCTTGGGAAGCGCAGTTCAGTTTGAAGCCAGTTCTGTCAACAGGAAACATCCGATTTTGGGCAGGGGGTGTGATTTGCAGCTTGGGGCATTCTGCCCAGTGGCTCTGAATTCTCCTTTGCTGAGCCTTCAGTGTCTCTGGAACTTGGACGGCGTTTGGACCGATTGTGCCAAGAGTGGTAGAAAAAAGCAAACTCCGTGTTAGGGATTATGAGGAAAGGGACTGAGATTTTTTATTTATTTATTTAATTATTTATCATATTTATACCCCGCCTTCCCCGCAAAGCAGGCTCAGGGCGGCTTCCATACAAACATAAATACAGTTAAAATCATACAATTATTTAAAACACGACAGATAAAATACAAATACGAGGTGCTGGCCACAGTTAAAAGATTAACTTAGATGGCTCGTTTTCAAGATGAATGACCCCTTCCCAGATCTTCTCAGATGTTCTTCTGCTCAGAATTTCTTACGGCATTGGCGCGATGTTAAAGCCACGGGCCAGGGTTCTACGACAGCGACGCCCCCTAATTAAATGCCTGGCGGAAGAGCTCCGTCTTGCAGGCCCTGCGGAACTGTGAAAGGTCCCGCAGGGCCCTGATCTCCTCCGGGAGCTCGTTCCACCAGGAAGGGGCCGCCACTGAAAAGGCCCTGGCCCTGGTAGTAGCTAGCCTGGCCTCCCTCAGGCCAGGGAGGGGTCAACCGATTTTGAGACCCACACCGAAGTGCTCTCTGGGGTATGTACGGGGAACAGCCGATATCGTAATGCCCCTGTAGACAACCATGGTGCAGCCTCATTTGGAATACTGTGTAGAGTTCTGGTTAAAAAGGACATCGCAGAGCTGGGAAGAGTACAGAGTAGGGCAAGCAAGATGATTCAGAGGTTGGAGCACCTCCCCTATGAGGAGAGGCTGAAGAGTATGGAACTTTTCAGTTTAGAAAAGAGGAGTAAGGGGGGGGCAACATAGAGGTTTATAAAATGATGCATGGGGCGGAGAGAGTGGACAAAGTGAACTCCCTCTTCCCAAATACTAGAACTCGAGGGCATCCAATGAAGCTGATGGGCAGTAGGTTCAGGACAGACAAAAGGAAACACCACTTTACACAGAGAGTGATTAAAATGTGGAATTCGCTGCCAGAGGATGTAGTGATGACCACAGGAGTAAACAGCTTTCAAAGGGAATTGTATAGATTCATGGAGTATAAGTTTATCAGTGGCTCCTAGCCACAGTGACTGAGGGGAACCTCCACACTCAGAGGCACTAACTCTCTGAATCCCAGAGCCAGGAGGCAACATCAGGGGAAGGCCTCGGCCTCTGTGCCCTGTTGTTGTCCGTCCAGAGGAATTGGTTGGCCCAGGGGTAATTTCCTGCAGGAGCGCACAGGAGCAAAGCTCCGGCAGTAAAGAGCCCAGAGGGTGGGCACATGCAACAAGCCCCACCCCCTGCTCCCAGCAGCCCTCAGTCAGAGCAAGAAATAGCCGGGTAAGTTGCAGAGCCTCCCCCCGGCCCAAAACAGTCCAGTGGCACCTTTAAGACCAAGTTTTATTCAGGTACAAGCTCTCCCTCCTCTGCAAGGAAAGATCTGCACATTCCCCCCCCCCCAATAGCTAGCAATCCAAAACAGTCCAGTGCAGCCTGAGCGGTGGGTGTTGCCTTCTGACACACTTCCAGTGATGTCAGGGTGTGTGGCATTTGCAAATAAGTTATGCTAATGAGTTACGCTAATGAGCTCCTGCACCTCTTTTTCTACAAAATGACCCCTGGGTTGCTCATTCCGTGAGACAGGATGCTGGACTAGATGGACCATTAGTCTCATACAGCAGAGCTCTTCTTACGTTCTTATGTTATGTCTTCATCAGTGAACATTATGAAAGGAACTTGGCAAGAGGGTATTGAGAGGCGGCGTGAATGGGCGCTTGCTTTGTCGCTAAGGGGAACTTCAGTAGCAAAAATGACGGGCCCTTTTAATTTGCCAGTGTACACGCCTCTCACCATTTGGATCCCAGCCCCTTTTTCGCCCAGCTCCAGAGTATGTTTACTTAAGACTCAGATCTTGCTCAGTCGGCAAGGCTTGTTTTTCCCCCAATTGTTTCTTTGTAAGAGGCCCAAGCCATTTGATATAAAACAACCCTGGTTGAATTGGAAGGTGACACAGAACAACTGGAAATCAAAATGGCAATTAAAGAAGCAAAGCCGTCAGTAACAGAGCAGAGAGAGACCCCTGTGGGTAGACTATTTGTGCCATTCTACATGCAGCTACCCCGACACTTGACACCACCCCTAGCCAGGGGTCATTTCCTGCACAGAGGAGCGCACAGGAGCGGAGCTCCGGCAGTAAAGAGCCCAGGGGGGTGGGCACATGCAATAAGCCCCGCCCCCTGCTCCCAGCAGCCCTCAATCAGAGCAAGAAGCAGCCAGGTAAGTTGCAGAGCTCCCCCCACCCGGTCCCCTGGTCCAAAACAGTCCAGTGACACCTTTAAGACCAAGTTTTATTCAGGTACAAGCTCTCCCTCCTCTGCGAGGACAGATCTGCACGTCCCCCCCCCCAATAGCTAGCAATCCAAAACAGTCCAGTGGAGCCTGAGTGGTGGGTGTTGTCCTCTGACACACTTCCGGTGATGTCAGGGGGTGTGGTATATGCAAATAAGGTATGCTAATGAGTTATGCTAATGAGCTCCTGCACCTCTTTTTCTACGAAATGACCCCTGCCCCTAGCTCCACTGCTGTTTTCCAAGCATGTGGGCTTATAATAGCAGTCTTTTCCTTTAAAAAACTAATTGCTCTACATTTGTGTTGCCTTTAAGAGAGGGGTCATTTTTTATTTATTGGATTGGGGTGTGTGAACCCCTCTGCCTTTCAGAGAAAACTATCTGGGTGGCTGATAAGAATTTAAGAGCATAAGAACATCAGAAGCAGAGGTCATTTTGGGGGGGATCGCGGGGGATCGCCGTTCCCCCGGGTGAGGTGCGGTGGGCGGGGCACATGACGAAGCCCCGCCCCCTGCTTCCGGCCGCCATCACTGCATCCTCTGGCAGCGAATCCCACATTTCAAATTTTGTTTCAATTTATTACGGGTCTATATGACCGAAGTCTTGACCGAAAAGAGAATGCAAAAGGGGTAAAACAGGTACATAAAATTAACGTAAAATAGGACAGTCACAATCAATAAACATATATAACCCAGGCAGAGCCCAGAGATTAAAAACCTAACTACACTTGGGGCGGAGCCAACTAAGATCCTCCGAAGATTGAAAGTTGGTGTAGGCGTTTACAAAAATGATAAAGTTCTCAATGTTTCTTGAGAGCAGCAACCTTAGCCAGGAACCGCGCCACATTAGCTGTTATCAGTCCATCGGCGTTTGAATCAGATAACAATACTGAGAGCACCCAAGGTTGCGAGGGAAGATTCATCTTCGTAAGAATAGGAATAATATATGTCCCTCTATCTTGAGTCCAATGGGGACAGCGAAACATCAGATGGTCTAGGGTTTCAATTTCACCAGAATTGCACAGACAGAGGCGATCTGAGTAAGGTAGGCCTCCAAATCTGCCACATTTCAATCACTCTCTGTGTACAAAGTACTATTTCCTTTTGTCCGTCCTGGACCTACCGCCCATCGGCTTCATTGGATGCCCTTGAGTTCTAGTATTTGGGGGAGACGGAGAAAAATCTAACGCATTCACAAAGTCTCCTGTTAAAAATCACACAGGTGTGAAACCCCACGGTCAGACTCTACAGTAACTCTCAGACGCAATAAGTCCATTTATGGATTTTATTGTAAGAAATCAGAAGAGCTGCAGGTGAATCAAACTCTTTGACAGAACTGGCAAAGAATACGAAATCATGAACTACGAGAACTTTGGGTCAGCCCACATTCATACGTCATGGGTACATGTGATAGAGACAGGTTAGCAGAGGACAATTATAATGGTGAGAATGTTTATCTGGAATACTTCCTGGCAAGGCCATGAGACATTAGAAATGCGAACAATCTCCTGGCCCATGTGTAGGAGGTCTCTTATACAGAAGTACAAAGTGCTCTATCCACAACAGTCAAACAAGCATGTCTCAACCATCCCTCCCATCCTGAGAATGTCAGAGGAGGATCCGTGTGAACTAGTTGATACATTGCTAGCAGGTGTCACATGGAGTATGGGAACTACAAGCAGGCATGAGAATACAGTGATAAGGCTGTAAAAAGGTAAAGGTTCCCTTGCTCGAAAGCCAGTCGAGTCCGACTCTAGGGTTGCGGTGCTCATCTCCGTTTCAAAGCCGAAGAGCCAGCGCTGTCCGAAGACGTTTCCGTGGTCATGTGGCCGGCATGACTAAACACCAAGGCGCCCGGAACGCTGTTACCTTCCCACCAAAGTGGTCCCTATTTATCTACTCGCAATTTCTTGCTTTCGAACGGCTAGGTTGGCAGGAGCTGGAACTAGAGACGGGAGCTCACTCCGTCATGCGGCACACTCGGGCCTCGAACTGCTGAACTACTGACCTTCCACAGCCTGCAGTTCAGCGTCTTAACCACTTGAGCCACCGCAGTTAATAAGCAAGCAGGCTAAGTACATCAGAACACCAGTGTGCATATGGACTGACCCAGTGGCCCAGCAAGGGAGTGAGGCATGCCGATCAAGGATCTGATTCTGACACCCACTCACCTACCGGCCCTTGAAGGATAGTACAGTGGGGATCAAAACTCATTGAACCAGGCTGCTGGACTCTGAGAGTGGCTCCGTGGTGTCCTGACACCCTGGGAGAGGAAGTTGAGAAACGTCCCACGGACAATGCGGGGGCGGGGGGGGCGGGGGAGAGAAGCTTGTCCGTTCGGAATCCGATCTCAGCACTTCCGTCCCCGGAAGGGTCTTCTCCGGTGCTCTGCCTGCGGTGTTGACCTGCCACTGTGGCCCCTCCTCTCTCTGTGTGTCTTTTCTCTCTCTCTCTACGTGTGTTTGCAGTGAACAGCATCACCTTGGCGGTGAATCTGATTGGCTGCCTCGCATGGATGATTGGCGGCGGCGGAGCGACTAACTTTGGACTGGCTATTCTCTGGCTCCTCCTCTTTACGCCCTGCTCTTATGTCTGCTGGTTCAGACCCATTTACAAAGCCTTCAAGTGAGTGCCGGGCCCTGTCGTCTCCCTTTCCCTTTCCACCTTCCCGGGCTCGGTTCACTTTCAGGACTTGGGAGATCCTAAGTCACTACGGTCCCGTTTGAGGCTGGCGTCGGAAATCGGATTGGCGGGCCTTCCGCCGTGGCCTGCGGCACGATAAAAGGGCTTCCGCCAAGAAATGGGAGCTTGTCCCCGAGGCTCCTGGGAGATCACAAGGACTTCTGGGATGATCTCCTGGCTCTTGGTGGGAGGTATTGTGGAGCATGGCGCCCTCCCTCCCTTCAGGCAGGTCTTCCAACAGGGCATTTGAGGATGTGGTATCACAGGTGAAAAGTACTCGGAACGAAGAGTGATTTCAGCAAGAGTACTTTATTTAGTGAAGAACAAGACAAGGACCCCCAGCACGCAGGCCGGTATATATGCCCAGAACCCGCCACCAAAAACACACCCCCTAGTGACCCTATAGGTTATTTACAGTGGCCGAGAGTCTCATAGGCTCTCGGCCGCGGACCCTGCCCTCTGGGTGGTGCGGGCTAGGATGCGCTATGCTATTGTTCTCACGGAACGAAGCTTAGGACTTGTGCGCGACCGCATGGCCCAACGGTCGCGCACGTGGCAATCGGGTACATTACAACAGGAGACGGTCTCCTACTTTTTAATGGAAGGGCCCAGATTGAAGAGGCCGAGAAACGTGGCCACCTCGTGTCAGAGTTGTGTTCCTCTACCACCGGGCAACTGTCCCAACAGGAAATGGAATGATGTGATGTCACAGGAGCCTGGGGGGGGGTCAGTCTCCCATTTCCCGGTGGGAGGAGAGCAGGCAAATTAGGGAATGGCTATCGACTGCCCATCCTCATGTGTCCTTGGGGAGTCCGCATCTCTGCCTTTTGGCTGCGCGCAAGCCCAATCTATAGCGTTGTGCTAGCGGTTCATGCCTGATGGCACGGCGGGGAATCAGATCAATGAAGATCAATAGAAACAGCTCATCGTGTGTCCTGGTTTTAGGCGAGGGGAGCTCATTTTGGGGGCAAGAATGGCAGGATGGCGAACGCCCAGGACACACGAAGCTGTCTTTTATTGAACCAGACCCTGGGTCCATCAAGTTCAGAGTTGTCTAAGACTGGCAGCGGCTCTCCTCCAGGGTCTCAGGCGGAGGACTTTCACATCATCTGATCCGTTAACTGGAGATGCTGGGTGGAGGAGAAACCACGGAGGCTGGGCGGGCGGGGAGGTGAGTCAATGAAAGAAAGGGGGAATGAGTGGATGAAGTAAGCGGCTGGAAGGATACCAGGTGGGTGGGCGACTGGGGGAGACATCCAGGAGGGAGCCAGAGCAAGAGGGGGGGGAGACAGGGTCAGCAAGTGGAGAATTGGATTTCCCCTCCCTCGTGTGTCCTCGCGGGTCCCCCTTTTGTTAATATTCTAATACCTTAACACCAATAAGATCGATAATGGTATCGATCGGCTTCATCAGTTAGGGAACATAGTGGCAGAAAACCACATCAAAACGTGACGGATGAATAAAAATAATTCAGTAGCTCCCCCAGCCCAACATTATAGTGGACAGTCTGGCAGCAAAAATGTTGGAATGCCAAAGGGAGAGTGCAGAGAACCAAAAGAAGTTATATGATAGTCAAAATGCCTGGGTGATTTTGTTTTTTAAAGAAGGTTTCACCTAGCACCTAAAACTTTGAAAGGGCCGAGGGCCAAGTGCGCTGCTAAGGAGGAGAATGTTTCAGATCTGGGAGGCCACCACCGAGGAGGCCCCGTCTCTGGCAGCCTCTCATCTTGCCTCCAGAGAGGAAGGCCTTAGAAGCTGATCTTAATTGACGGGCAGGTTGAGAGGCAAGATTTTGTTTCTTGCGAGCGGCTTGAGGAACTAATTCTGTCTGAGAAGCTGGAGAAGAATCTAACCGGCAACCTTGCAGAGCAGATCAGACTGTGAGACCGCACCTTGCTAGTGATTTGAACCTGGGGTTCTTACATCCGAGCCGAGTGCCCTATCCAGCACATTACATTGTCACTTGGCTTGATTTTAATCTCACCTGCTTGCTCTCTCCACTGTTTTCCTTGCAGTGGCTCTGATCCTAGCAGGGCCATCTCTGCCCATCTCTGCCCATCTCTTCTCAGCGATGGTTCTTCTCGGAGCCACTGAAGAACTGCTGGCGTGGGAGACGCCTGCCCGTTGGTGCAGCGAATACCTTGGCCAGTCTGGCGACAGAAGAACTGTTGTCCTGGTGGTGATAAGCTTTTAATTTTTTCTTTTCTTTTGTAGGACAGACAGCTCCTTCAGCTTCATGGCGTTCTTCTTCACGTTCATGGCCCAGCTGGTGATCAGCATCATCCAAGCGGTTGGGATCCCCGGCTGGGGGGTCTGGTAAGTCTTCAGGCAAAAGGGAGAATCCTTCTCCCCCCACACACAAAATCTCAGCGCAGCTCACTGGCTGATTTCCTCCTTGAGCAGAGAGACCAAGAACTGATCTGCATGCATTTGTGACTCGCTTTGTGCATATTTAACACACCCTTCTGCAGGCAGCATTGATAGTTCCGCCCTCTTTTCTTTTATCCTCACAACAACCCTGGGAGGTAGGTTAGGCTGAGAAAGAATGGCTGAACTGAGCTCACCCCCCACTCCTCCACATGCAGCTGCTGGTGTGACCTTGGGTCAGTTACAAGTTCTTTCAGAGCTGTTATCTCAAGGGCAGTTCTCGAGAGAGCTCTCTCAGCCCCACCTACCTCGTAGGGCAGTGATGGCGAACCTTTTAGAGACCGAGTGCCCAAAGTGCGATCCAAAACCCACTTATTTATCGCAAAGTGCCAACACGGCAATTTAACCTGAATACTGAGGTTTTACTTTAGAAAAAACAACTCATACATTAACTTAAGATGATCCAAACAAAGTAAGGAAAGCAATCCCAAATGCTTTCATTTACTTAAAATTATTTGGCAGAGAATTCGACACTTCAATGATGGTCTGGGCTCTGAGTGCCACCTCTGGCACCCGTGCCATAGGTTCGCTGCCACTGTCGTAGAGTGTCTGTTGCAGGGAGGGGAAGGAAAAGGAAATTGCAAGCCGCTCTGAGACTCCTTTGGGTAGTGAAGGGTGGAGTATAAATCTAATCTCCTCCTCCTCCTCCTCCTCCTCCTCCTCCTTCTCCCAGTAAGTTTTGTGACAAGTGGGGATTTGAATCCAGGTCTCTCAGGAGAGAGAAAACAAAACAGGGAAAGCTAGCTGCTGCAGAAATAACAGGTGTGTGTGTCAGGTCTAAATATAGCTGTGGAGTGATTCATGGATTTGTTGACAGCTGGTCGTGGCCTGCAAGATGTATAGTGTTCCTCTCCAAGTTAATTTCCTGTCTGCCAGTGATACACAAGCCTTCTTGATTCTTGCAGGCTATAGGTTTGGCAGCATCCTCAGTTGTATAGAACACTTAGAAACCAGCGGCCATAGAGCGTGCGGGTTAGTTCGGCTCAGGGGTGAATGCCTGCCCCGGCTGCTGCCATTCTCCAGGGTGGCCAGGGTACATTGCGGAAATCGCCACAGGCGGAATTCCCCTGCCAGGACCTCGACTCTTGCCCTAACAGCCACTTCCTTTCTCCACAATGTCTTGATCAGCACCCTTTTCCTTCCCACCTCATAGTATATAACCCCTCCTGACATTCAGTGACGTGACTTTCAGAGTGTCTTGCCTCAATTTGCCTGTCTCTCAGGGTGCTTAGCTTCCTTTGGGTTTCCTTTTCTCATTTTGTTCCCTGCTCTTCAGCCTCCTGGCCTCTGGGTTCCCCGACCGTCCGCTTCCACCCTTCCCAGTCTTCAGCCTGCCCTTTGCGAGGTTTTATCCCCAGCTAAATTGACACGTTTCTTGCGCCTCATAGAAGTTGGACTGCGAACGGTCCAATTCCTTGAGCAACCGAACATTCTGTACCATTCCAGACCAGGTCATTCAGTTGGCTTTGCTGCTGTGTACACAATATAAGACAGATTTAATTTGCAAAGTTACTAGAAAGCTTTCATGGGCAAAACAACAGGTACCGTGTTTTCCCGAAAATAAGACACTGTCTTATATTTATTTTTTCTCAAGAAGACACACTAGGGCTTATACCACAAATGCATAGAAATCCTGCTAGGGCTTATTTTTTGGGTAGGGCTTATTTTTGGGGAAACAGGGTAGCAGATTCTTTAGGTATGCTACACCCAAAGCATTTAGGGCTTTAAGAAGAAGAAGAGAAGAAGAAAAGATTGGATTTATACCCCACCCATTACTACCTGAAGGAATCTCAGAGTGGCTTACCATCTCCTTTCCCTTCCCCTCCCCACAACAGACACCCTGTGAGGTAGGTGGAGCTGAGAGAGCTCTTTTGACGACTGCTCTTGAGAGAACAGTTCTAAGAGAATTTGTGACTGACCCAAGGTCACACCAGCAGCTGCATGTGGAGAAGTGAGGAATCAAACCCAGTTCTCCCAGATTAGAGTCTGCGCTCCTAACCACTACACCAAGCTGGCTTCCTTTAAACGTCAAATCCTGTGGTAAGAATTGGGCCTGGAAACAAAATTGGTATCTACTGAAGGAAACAGAAGTCATATGTTCCCTGCATTTTGGACTAGACCAGAAGTCCTCAAACTTTTTGAGTCTGCGGGCACCTTTGGAATTCTGACACAGCATGGTGGGCACAGCCACAAAACTGCTGCCACAAAATGACTGCTGAAGGAGCCAGTCACAAAATGGCTGCCACAGCTTCCCTTCAGTCGCACAGCAAAGAGCCAGTTTGGTGTCGTGGTTAAGTGCACAGACTCTAATCTGGGAGGACCGGGTTTGGTTCCCCACTCCTCCACTCGCAGCTGCTGGATGACCTTGGGCAAGCCATAGTTCTCTCAGAGCTGTTCTGGAAAAAGCAGTTCTCAAAAGAGCTCTCTCAGCCCCACCTACCTCACAGGCTGTCTGTTGTGAGGAGGGGAAGGGAAAGGAGATTGTAAGCCGCTCTGAGACTTCGAGTGAAGGGTGGGGTATAAATCCAATCTCTTCGTCTTCTTCTTGTGCTGTGGTGGCAACATTTTAAAAAATCTGCACGGCCAATCCAATCTCCAACAGCTGAACAGAAGCCTTGCTGGGCAAAAGTTCCACCCACTTTCCAATAACACTTGGTAGGCGCCAGGAAAGTTGTTGGCGGGCTCCACAGGGCTCACAGCCACTGTACTGGGGACCCCCGGACTAGACATTTCTGATAACTTTGCAAATGTAGGCCAACATAGATCATGTGGTAGAGCAATTTGGGGGTATTGGCAGCATGTCGCACTGATGTCTCCAAACTTCTTTCTGGTTTCCCCACAGCGGCTGGATTGCGGCCATCTCTTTCTTCGGCAGCAACGTGGGATCGGCAGTCGTGATGCTCATCCCCACCATCCTGTTCACAGCCATGTCCGTTTTCTCCTTCATCGCCCTCAGCATGGTAAGAGCTCTCTGGGTGGGGAACGCTCGTGTCTGTGGAGGGGTTACATAAGAACGTCAGGAGAGCCCTGCTGGGTCAGAGCAGTGGCCCATCCAGTCCAGCACCCCGTCTCACACAGTGGCCAAACAGTTCCTCTGGACAGCCAGCAACAGGGCACAGAAGCCAAGGCCTTCCCCTGATAATAACATCAGAGGCCTGTTGAATCAGACCAACGGTCCATCCAGTCCAGCCTCCTGTCTCACACAGCGGCCAACCAGTTCCTCTGGACAGCCAGCAACAGGGCACAGAGGCCGAGGCCTTCATAAGAACCTCAGAAGAGCCCTGCTGGATCAGACCAGTGGTCCATCTAGTCCAGCATCCTGTCTCACACAGGAGCCAACCAGTTCCTGTGGACAGCCAGCAACAGGGCAGAGGCCGAGGCCTTCCTCTGATTTTTGTCCCCTGGGTCTGGGATTTCAGAGGATTAGCGCCTCTAAATGTGGACTAGTAGCTAGGGGTCATTTTGTAGAAAAAGAGGTGCAGGAGCTTATTAGCATAACTTATTTGCATATGCCACGCCCCTTGACATCACCGGAAGTGTGTCAGAAGGCAACACCCACCACTCAGGCTCCACTGGACTGTTTTAGATTGCTAGCTATTGAGGAGGGGGGAACGTGCAGATCTGCCCTCACAGAGGAGGGAGAGCTTGTACTTGAAGGTGGGCCGGGGGGGCTCTGCAACTTACCTGGCTGCTTCTTGCTCCCCGTGGCCCGACTGAGGGCTGCTGGGAGCAGGGGGTGGGGCTTGTTGCATGTGCCCGCCCCCTGGGCTCCTTATTGCCGGAGCTCCACTCCTGTGCACTCCCGCAGGAAATGACCCCTGCTAGTAGCCATTGATACTTATCCTCCATGAATTTTTCTGATCCCCTTCTAAAGCTGTTAATCCCTATGGCCATCACTATCTGTGCCTATTGCAGTCATAACTATTGCATGCGACAGTTTTCCCCCTTCCAGAGCTTTGGCTTGACCCTCCTCTTGGTTTGAAAGGAAAAGTAGCAGAATCTGGGCTGGAGAGCTTTGGACTGTCTCATTTTCTTCCCTGTCCGTTGGAATTTGGGTCCGTTGGAAGTTCTTCCATTGGGGAGGGTGAAGCTTTCTGTTAGCTTTGCCAACCTTCAGGTGGTTAGCTGGGGATTCTTTTGCTTTTACAACTGATCTCCGACAGAGATCAGGTTCCCTTGGGAAAGGATGACTCTATGGCATTGAAGCCCCTCCCCTCCCCAAACCCTGTCTTCCTCAGGCTCCGCCCCCCCCAAATTTCCAGGTATTTCCCAACCTGGAGCTGGTAACCTACTTTCTGGCCTGGACATTGGTCTCTTTTACCAGCAGATGAAGATGTCTTTGGCCCCGTTCACACGCGGAAGTAGCTGCGGGAGAGCCATGGGTGGTGGGCGGATTATTCGGGCGCGATCACACCACCACATCTGGCAAGTGGAGCGCACCCGCGGCCAACCCGTGGCTTCCCGCGGAAAAAACGGAGTTAAAAACTACCTGCTTCGGAGTACTGTCTTCCAGTAAATGCGCGGCGCGGGCGGGCGTCTGATCGGAGGTGCGCTGGTAGCCCGTCGCGTCCAGCAGCTGTCCGCGGCGGGCGCATGCGCACAAACACAGTCCTGCTGTGTTCCTGCTGTGTCGCCTCGCTGGTCTGATCGGCTGCTGACGGCCGGAGGATGGAGCCGCGGGGGAATGTGAGATCTTGCTACCGCGCTTCTTTTTTCTCCGCAGTTAAAAGCCTCCGTTCCCCTGCGGATTATCCGGCCCGTGCGACCAGGGCCTTTGTTTTGTTTGGCAAATACCCAATTACAGTTTCTGGCCCTCCTCCTGACATTGTTTCTTCATGTGTTTTCAATTGAATTATTTTATCCTTTAAAAAATATTTTTAATTCTTCAAATATTTTAGTTTTGTTACGTTGGTTGCCCCGGGCACCCTGATCGGATGGAAAGTTGGTACAAAAATGTTTCCATAATTTGCTTTTGTGCTCCTGTGTTAAGAAAACATTTATTTAGGCAGGGCTTTTTTTGTAGAAAAAGACCAGCAGGAACTCATTAGCATAACAGGCCACACCCAACAGATGAAACTCATTAGCATAGTAGGCCACACCCTGACAGCACAGCATATTAGGCCACACCCCCATGCCACCAGAAGTGTGGTCATCCAGCCACACCCACCTTTTGCTTCTTATTCTGTTTACCTTGTTTGTGGTCAAAACCCAGGGCTTTTTTGGTAGCAGGAACTCCTTTGCATGTTAGGCCACACACCCCTAATGTAGCCAATCCTAATGAGTTTCTGCTGTTGGGTGTGGCCTATTATGCTAATGAGTTCCTGCTGGGCGTGGCCAACTCGGGAGCCAGCCGGAACTCCGTTCCTGTGCGTTCCTGCCCAAAAATAGCCCTGTATTTAGGTACTTATTTTATACCCCGGCCTTTCTCCCCAATGAACTCACATCGTTCTCCTCTCCTCTCTTTTATCCTCACAACAGCTCTGTGCGGTGGATGAGGCTGAGCATTTGCGACCGGCCTGAAGTCTCCCAGCAGCCTCCCGTGGCAGAGCAGGAATTCGAACCTGGGTCTCTGAGATCCTAGTCCCCTAGTCTGACCACTATACCACACTGTTCTCTTAGGGAAGCAAACAAATGTAGCCCTGTTGCCCAGTCTAGGATGGAAAAAGCCTGGAGATTTAGGGGGTGGATCCAGGAGAAGGTGTGGTCTGGGGAGGGGAGGGACTTCAATGGGGTATAACGCCATAGAGTCCACCTTCCAGAGCAGCCATTTTCTCCAGGTGAGCTGATCTCCAGTTACCAACTGAAGACTGGCAACGTCCGACCTCGATTCCCGCCTCTCCTCCTCCACAGTTTGGTGTCGTGGTTAAGTGTGCAGACTCTAATCTGGGAGAACCGCGTTTGATTCCCCCCTCCTCCACTTGCAGCTGCTGGGTGACCTTGGGCAAGCCGTAGCTCTGATAAGAGCTGTCCTTGAAAAAGAGCAGTTTCTGTTAGAGCTCTCTCAGCCCCGCCTGCCTCACCGGGTGTCTGTTGTGGGGAGGAGAAGGGAGAGGAGTTTGTAAGCCGCTCGGAGACTCCTTTGGGTAGTGAAGGACGGGGTATAAATCCAATCTCTTCTTCTTCTTCTTTTACCTCACCGGGTGTCTGTTGTGGGGAGGAGAAGGGAGAGGAGTTTGTAAGCCGCTCGGAGACTCCTTTGGGTAGTGAAGGACGGGGTATAAATCCAATCTCTTCTTCTTCTTCTTTTACCTCACCGGGTGTCTGTTGTGGGGAGGAGAAGGGAGAGGAGTTTGTAAGCCGCTCGGAGACTCCTTTGGGTAGTGAAGGACGGGGTATAAATCCAATCTCTTCTTCTTCTTCTTTTACCTCACCGGGTGTCTGTTGTGGGGAGGAGAAGGGAGAGGAGTTTGTAAGCCGCTCGGAGACTCCTTTGGGTAGTGAAGGGCGGGGTATGAATCCAATCTCTTCTTCTTCCTGTCCCCGACGCAGGTGCATAAATTCTACCGGGGAAGCGGCGGGAGCTTCAGCAAAGCACAAGAGGAGTGGACAACAGGGGCGTGGAAGAACCCGCACGTCCAACAGGCTGCGCAGAACGTGGCCGTCGGCGCCGCCCAGGGAGCCATGATGCCGCACGAGACGCAATATTCGGCCACCCCCAACTATAACTACCCCAATGAGATGTGAAGGGAAGCTTGTGGCTCGATGCGGGCGGGTGGAACCAGAGCATTTGTCGTTGTGCGGCTGGGTGTGTATGTGAGAGTGGATTCTGCCGGGTCGGGGTGGGAGGGCCAGGCCGGTTGTACGATAACTTTCCTGACCGAGGAGGCATGTCAGATATTTGTTCTCCTTCCTCCTCTCGACTTTGGAACGGGATCCTTTTGGGGGATCCTCGTGTCCCTGGAGATAAATATATATATATATCTATTTTTCTCTCCCTTTCCGTTCAAAGAAGCTGTGAGTTGATCTGCAGGACAAAATGGTGTTTGTGCTGTAGTAATCGTACGTGTGTGCTCGATTTTTGTTTTTTTTAAGTCCCCCTCCCTGTGAAACTGTGCAGTGGTGGTTTTTTAAAGTTACTGTGGTGGTAGGTGGTGTTTGTAGCGGGGAAACCGAGCCCCCCCCCCAAATGGCAGGCGAAGACAGAAACCCTCCTCAGAAGGTAGTCCACAACCAGCTGCGCTTTCGGTGAGAATTTGACCACGTTCTTTCGGTCCCGGGAGCTCCCAATGCAAATATTTTGGACGGCTGCCTTATTAGGACTTTAATTCCTGCCCTTCGTTTTACCGAGACGAGCCCCCGCGTGTCGCTTCCCTGTCCTCTTTGCGTTGGAGTCCGCGGACGATCTTAACTGTGCAGTTGTGAGCAAGACTAAATCAGTTTCCTCCCCCCCTTCTGGTGTCCGAGCTAGGAAGACAGTATTTGGGCGGTGACTTTCAAAGAGATGGCTCCCCTTTCATTCTCGCGGCACCCCTGCTTTTCAGTGTGAAACTCTCTGCATTCCAGATCTTCTCCCCTCCAAACAACCTGCTTTTAAGTTCCCCACAGATGTTGTGGGTTCTTTTCGTAGGTCAAGAACCTGAAAAGGTAAGTCAAATTGAGTAGCGGGCCGGCAATTAAAACTTAATGTATAAATAATATGTAAAAATACATGTATTTATTTGTAAAGAATTGAAAAAATGTATAGGGGCCCAAGCACACCTCATGTAAAAATCCCGAAATCATAGATACACAAGGGCCAATGAACTGATGCGTTTTGGCTTGTTAGGGCCTTCTTCAGTTTGGTGTAGTGGTTAAGTGCGTGGACTCTAATCTGGGAGAACCGGGTTCGATTCCCCACTCCTCCACTTGCACCTGGCTGGATGACCTTGGGCAAGCCATAGTTCTGATAAGAGCCATTCTTGAAAAAGAGCCTTTTCTGTCAAGAGCTCTCTCAGCCCCACCTACCACATAGGGTGTCTGTTGTGGGGAGGGGAAGGGAAAGGAGTTTGTAAGCCGCTCTGAGACTCCTTTGGGTAGTGACGGGCGGGGTATAAATCCAATCTCTTCTTCTTCTT